TGGGCGGGCGCCTCGACCTGCGCCGACGGGCGCTGCGTCCGGACGCTGCCGATGTCTCCGCAGGGATCCACCCGCGTCGGCAGCTGGCCCTCGTGCTCGGCCTCGATGGTGGCGACGCGCCCGTTTAGCGCCGAGAGCGCCGCGACCAGGAAGGCAGCCTGGGTGTCGGCCTTCCGGGCGAAGTCCTCCGTCGCCGACTTCGCGGCCACGTTGGAGGTGAAGGCCGCCGGCATCGCGCGCGCGGTCGGCAAGAGAGCAGCGCTGCTCCTGGCCGGCAGGTTGGCCGCGAGGCTGAGACCCAGCCAGGATGTCCTGCGCGGCCTGCTCGCCGTTGGGGTCGGCCCTGCCGCCGTCGTCGTTGACCAGCGCGACCGCGTCGTTGTCCGAGGCCTCGCCGTCTCCGAGCGACGCGCCCGAGCCGAGGTGCATCGCGGCATCGGTCTCGGCATCCGCCGCGTCGAGTGGCAACGTGGGCCCATGCGTCGAGGCAGCCGAACCAGTTGGGCTCCACGGGTCCTTCCTCGGGGGCGGGTCCACGCGCGCTGACTTGGCCGCGCCTGGGCGGCCCTTGCCAGCGCTCTTGATCGCCGACCCCTTGCCGGAAGAAGCGGCGGGCGCCGTCGCGGGATCGACGGGCGCGGCGCGCGCCGCCGTCCCAGACATGAATGTCCAGTCCGCGTGGTGCGTCGAACTGGCGGCTCGAAGCCCCGCGAAAAGCTCGCCGCGATGTCGGGCCCGCGGCGAGGATTGCCCCTGCCTGCCGCGGATTGGGCCCTGGGGGGGGGGGGGGGCGCAACTTTGTTAGCGCGGGTCTTGAGTCAGAATGGCCGGGGCCAAAATCGCCGGAGCCAAAATGGCCGCGGAGGGGGGGGGGGAGGGGGGGGGGGCGGAGGGGGAGGCGGAGGAGGGGGGGGGGAGAAGAAGACGGGGAGGGGAAGGGAACGAGAGAGGGGGGGGGGGGGCAGGAAGAGCAGGAGAGAAAAGGGAAAGGAGGAGGAAGAGGCGGACGAGGAGGCGGAGGGGGCGGCGGGGGAGGTGGAGGTGTGGGGGGGGAGAGCGAACGCCTCGCGGCGGTCGCCGTGCCTCCTTACTCCGCGCCCGCGGCGGGCGCGCTGACGGTCTCGGAGGCAGTCGTGGATGTTCGGGTGGGGGCCCCGCGCCCTCGCGCGCGGCGGGCTCGCCCTGGCGGGGGCCCTGCGCCGCGCGGTTGGAGCGCATCGCCTCGTGGATGTTCTGGCTGGAGCTCGGCATCTCGCGCGTGGCGACCTCGTTCTGGCCGGCGCCCTGCGCCTCGCGGTGGGGGCCTCGTTTAGGTTGGCGCCTTGCGCCTCGCGCGTGTCGCTCTCGTTCCGGGCGGCGGCCCGCGCCCCGCGGATGGGGCCCTACGCCTCCTAGATGTTCTGGCTGGCGCCCCGCGCCTCGCCCGCGGTGGGGGCCCGGTCTTGCGCTCGAGGGGCAGCTCAAGCATCGCGCGCGGCAGCGCCGGCACCTCTGCGGAGAGATGCGCGATGTCGGGGCGCTTGGCGCGCGGCTTGCGCAGCCTCGTGGAAGGCGGCGCAGTTGTTCTCAAACCGATGTTGGCGAACCTCTGCTCGTCCCCGATCGCGCGGTGCAGTCGGCGCGCCACAGCTGCGCGTGCAATGACAGGCTTGACGCGGTCATCCGCCCATGCGGGCACTGCGCAGTTCTCGTCGCGAATAGCAAGCTGAGCGTTCGCGCGCCGACGAAGACGACCTCGAGGCGCCGCAAGGAGATGCCAGAGCCGCGGGCAGGTCAAGTAGTGCGCCATCGAATCAGCATGAAAAGCTTCGTCGCAACCGAAGGCGCACCCGCGACGCTCGGGCTGAACGTGGAGACGGAAGCTCGTCGCCCATCCTCCAGCCAACGCCTTAACCACGGGCCAGAAGTGGGATGGCGGCAGCGCTGCAAGCCGCGGCCTCAGCTGCCTCCATTGGATCTTCGTAGAGCCACGGAGCTGCACAAGGCTGGCGAGGTCATCCGCAGCGGAAGCGTCCTCGTGGATCTGGCGGTTGTTGGCGTCCATCAACGCAGAGTCCGTGGGGTCATCTGCCAGGTCAGCGGCAAAAGAACAATCTGGCGTCGCCGTCAGTGTTCGGCTGCCGCAAGGTTGAACTCCATCTGCGCCTCTGCCATCCGCGGTGTCCGTTCCCAGTATCGTACCCTCATCATTCTGTTTGCCGCAGAGTCCATCGCGCGCAGACAAATGCGGCGGGCGCGGCGCCGTGCGCGCTCGCTGCAGCGCAGGAACAGGTCGTGCAAGTTACGCCGCCGCAGTATCGCATAGACAAATTTCACGCGCCACGCGACCCCATTATTCTCCCTCGATTCGGAAAAGCCCCAGCTGTCCAGAAACAGATCAGGGGGCCAGTCGCCGCTCCAGAGGGCAAGCACCTTTTCCAGCATGGCCAACTGTTGGCGAGCGAAGTCTCTGTCGTCGCCATTGTCGTCGGGCGTGGGTTCTGGGGCGAGCTGTCTGTCAGGTGATTCCGCTCGCTGTGGTTGCTTCCGTTCAACCACTGGAATGGATGGGGACCAGGTGCGCGGGCGTTTCGCGATGGTAATGTCGAAGTTACCCGCGCAGAAGTGGCGCTGGAGCTCGAACGTGCACGTGGTGTGCGGTGTCTTCAGCGGCAACTTTCCGTCTTGACGCCGAGCTGGTGCTCGTGCTCGCTCGGCGGCAGCGCCGGCGCACCGATGAGAACGAATGCGATGCTGTCCAACACGATCATGGTTGTTGGCCGGCGCTGTGCTGTGAGAAGATGGAGCCCTTGCGCGCGGGATAAGCCGTCCCTTGGCGTGCAGCATGAAGGTTTTGAACGATCGATGCGGGGCCCAGCGCGGTGCGCGCCATCTCCCCTCTGGAATCTGAGGCGCGGGCGAGTGAAGATCAGCAGCCTGCATTGTGTGCATCTGCGGCCAGATCCCGATCATGATGGAAGCGGCTCGCCACGAAGTAGCACTGAGCAGTAGTTCGACTCCCTTGGGGGTCTCGAATTTAGCACGCGCGCGCATGCTAGGATGTCCATCTTGGAAAAAAGCTGGCGGAGCCGAGCGAATCATGTTGTGCACGATGTGCATGTTTTTGCTCAGAACCATCTCTGGCGCGGGAAGGAGTCGGCCCGCGTACGATAATCAATGAATCACTGAAGTGTTGTAGAGCCGGATATTTTGTTGAATCGGAGCATGCGTTTCTGCCCCTTGGTCCGTCTGGGGGCTCCAAAGGCCGTCCGTCATCGAGGGAAAAACGCCCATATGGCAAACATCAAACACGCGACGAAAAGAAACGGGTCGTACGCGAGATGACGCAGCGACCTTGCGCGGTGGCTTAGGCGGGCCGCCAGCGAGGCACGCTGCATTGGAAACGGGGGCGCTCATGCGCGACCTCACGCGGGCAGCTTGCGCGCCAATGTCGGTAACGACGAGCTCGATTTTTTGTTTCGTCGTTCACATCGTCGGATCGGGGGGGGTTCAGGCTGCCGGCATGGCGCCGTCGCCTGCAAGCAGGCGCGGTGCCTGGCCGCGCGGAAGCGCCGTGGCGGACGGCGCTGCTCTCGCGCAGGGCCTGCGGGCAGCCGCCGGCGGCCGCCGGCGCCCTGCGCCAGCTGTGGCGGTGCTGCGGACCAGGTTGGAGCTGCCGACGATTCGGCGACCTCTGAGATCCAGCGGCCCTGGAGGGCGCCGCGGCCGTCCCAGAGCGCTCTGCAGCGCTCCGAGGGAGCCTTCCAGGGCGCTCTGGAGCGACTTAATCCTGGTCCTGGGCCTGCCTGACCAGCGCCCTCGTGCGCCGCAGGCGGCGCAGGTCTGGCGGCGGCGCGGCGGGCCGACGCCGCGCGCCAGCTGCACGAAGGCGCTCGGGGCTGATGCGCACCGGCCGCGCGGGCGCGCCGCCATGGCCGCCTCGCTTCGGTCGGGGCTGGCGCCGCAGGGCTGCCTCGTCGTGGTGCTGCTGGTCCGTCGCGGCCATTCTGCTCGGAGTGATCGCAGGTGGAGCGCGGGCCCACCACAGCGCAGGAGCCCAGATGTATCCGACGATGTGATTGTTTCAATCCCAATTTGTTTTCTCGCTTTCGACCCCGTGACGACGACGACGACGACGACGACGACGACGACGACGACGACGACGACGACGACGACGACGACGACGAGCCTGTTATCGGGCCCCGGGCCCATCAAGAAAGGACCCACCCAAGGCGAAACGATTCCCCCGGGGTCGGGACCAGTGGGGCCGCGCGGGCGTTGGATGCCTGGGGCTCGCGCCCTCGCGCCGCTGGGGCGGCGGCGGCGCCGCAGGCCGCCGCCGCGCCAACTGCGACAGGCGATCGGGGCAGGGGCGCACCGGCCGCAACAGGCGCGCCGCCTGGGCCACCTCGCCGCCTGGCTGCACCTCGCCGCCGCGTTGCTGCCGGTGCGTCGCGGCCCTGCTGCTGCAGGCGACGGGGGGCGGAGCGCAGCCCCGGCCGCCCCCTCAAAAATAGGCAGTACGATCCCCCGTCTTCGGGCCAACCCAAACCCTGGTCAGTCGGGCACTGCAGAATCCTGCAAATCCTGCAGGATCCTACGCAAAAGCCCAGGCCAACGTTCCCCTGGCCCTGCATGATGCTGCAAGATATCCGGCGCTCGAGCCGGCACCCGTCTTTCCCGTCTCAGGGCTCCCGACCTCCCTCCCCCCCTTCCGCAATGCCTGGCGCCCGCCCTGACTCTGGAGCGGACGGCCACCGGGGCCCAGGCGTGCGAGGCAATCTCGGGCACCTGCGCCCTCCATCGCCGTCTGGTGCTGACTACAAATGCTCCTCCTGCTTCTCCTGCTTTTTCCTCCTCCTCCTCCTCATCCTCCTCCTCCTCCTCCTCCTCCTCCTCCTCCATCCTCCTCCATCCTCCTCCTCCTCCTCCTCCTCCTCCTCCTCCTCCTCCTTCTCCTTATCCTCCATCCTCTATCCTCCCTCCTGCTCCTCGGCAAAAGGTTAACGAGAGGCGCTCGCCTTCGCAGGGGACTGAGGCGTGGAGCCTCCCCGCTGCGGAGTCTTCGCCTTCCCGATGGTCTTGCGCACCCCAGGCGCCTCGCAGGGGTCAGTCGCGGCCTCATGTTGCTGCTGCTGGTCGTCTTTGTCCTCCCCCCCTTCCTCTCCCTCCCTTTCCTGGGCCCTCCCCCTCCTCATCGCCCACGCTCCTCTTCTTTCATCCTCATCCCCTTCCTCCTCTTTCTCATTCCTCCCGTCTTCTCCCCTCCTCTTTCTCCTCCTCCTCCTCCTCCTGCTCCTCCTGCTCATCCGTCATCCGTGCTCCGTCTCCGCCTCCCCCGCCGCTGTCGGCGTCGCCGCTGCCGCCGCCGCCGCCGCGGCCGCCGCCGCCGCCGCCGCCGCCGCCGCCGCCGCCGCCGCCGCCGCCGCCGCCGTCGTCGTCGTCGTCGTCGTCGTGGTCGACGTCGTGGTCGACGTCGTGGTCGTCGTGGTCGTCGTGGTCGTCGTGGTCGTCGTGGTCGTCGTCGTCGTCGTCGTCGTCGCCCCCCCCTCTGCGAGCCCGCGGCCGCCCCGCCGACCCCACTAACTCCCCCCTTGCCCGCCGCCGTCCGTGCTCCGCCCCGACCCGCCCGCCCAGAACACAAGCGAGCGACGACCAAAATCGGGGGGGGCGTAAGACCCGGGTACGGGGGACTCGGAAATCCCCGACGAGGTCGTCAAAAAAATGACGAGGCCGAGCCTGCATTGTGACGAGGCCTCCCGCTGCAGACATCCCACGAAACTCCTCCTCGTCAAAATCCGAGGCGCGGTCGTCAAAAACCCATGGCGAACCCGAGTCCTGGCAAACCCGGGTCTTACGCTCCCCCGAGATGTGCTCCACGGGCTGGCTGTCCGCGTGCAGGTCGGCCAGCAGGCCCGCGCCTGAAGGGGCCCCGGGGCACGCGGATAAACCGACACGCGAGATCCCCATCCGTTTCATGTTTTCTCGATGTTCGTCTTCCCCGTCCACTTCCCATTTTTGTTTCCCTCCCGAGCGCCGCCCACCCCGTCCACGCCGCGATCCACGCGGGCAGCCTACGTGTAAGCGAGGGCGCCTACACACGCGCGATCCGTACGCGGGCAGCCTGCGCGCCGGTGTCGGCGCAGTGGACTCCGCTTTCCTGCGTCGCGCGAGTTAAGAGGCTCGATAGGGGGCAGGGACTGGACGCGCATCCGACGGCTGGCGGGCCGATAACTCCGCCACCGTGCCACGATGCCTCGTAAAGAAACAATAGGTCTGCACTCTCGCGCTTCCCAGACGGCGTTTCACTGCCTGTCCCCCGTCCTGGCCTCCTTCTTCCCCGCCACACCCCACCATCCTTTTAAGGAGACGGAGGAGGAGGAGAGGGAGAACGCTGCGGCCAGAGTGCCCCGTATAGCATGCCCAAGAAAAGAGAGGGTGGACGGAGGAGAAAGAGACGGATTCCGCTCAAGGCTGACCTGACTCATGCCGCCAATGGCCTTCAACATTGATTGCCCCCTGCGTCGCCGCCGCGTCAACACGGCGCGAAGCTGCCGTAACCCCGCGGGCCCAGCAGTTTCAGAATCGAGGCTCCATTCGCTAGGCCAAACAGTGATGCTGGAGCTCAGCCAGCCCCCAGATCGGAGGTTAAACCTCTTGAGGCTTGTTCCTAGCTGCTCGTCGCCCTCCCATCGTGATGCTCCCCGACGCCATGACCTTTTTGTGTCACGGGCTTTCGGAACTCTCGATCCCATCCCAGGCACCGGCTTGCCATGCTGCAGAAGTTCTCGACGACGGCTCGGGGGCTCGAGAAGGTCTTCTGCAGTCCCTCATTGACGAGACAAAACGGCTATAATTCCCAACCATCCTGTGGTGTTGGGTCCTCGTTTTGAAGAGACGATGCCCCGCGTTCCTCTTCCTCCCGCTGCCCCCTCCCCCCTCCTCCCATTATCATCACCATCCTCATCATGCTCATCACCATGAGTATCGTCATCATCATCATCATCATCATCATCATCATCATCATCATCATCATCATCATCATCATCGGCACACCCCTCACACGTTTCGTGGCCCCATAGGGAGCTCCACCGAAGGCCCAAATGGCTGCGTCCGCATGCCGCCGCCACCCAATTTTGGCACACCCCTCACACGCTTCGTGGCCCCATAGGGAGCTCCACCGAAGGCCCAAATGGCTGCGTCCGCATGTCACACCCCTCACACGTTTCGTGGCCCCATGCTCGGCCCAAGGGCTGCGTCCGCATGCCGCCGCCGCCCAATTTTGGCACACCCCTCACACGTTTCGTGGCCCCATAGGGAGCTCCATCTAAGGCCCAAATGGCTGCGTCCGCATGCCGCCGCCACCCCATTTTTGGCACACCCCTTACACGTTTCGTGGCCCCATGGGGAGCTCCACCGAAGGCCCAAATGGCTGCGTCCGCATGCCGCCGCCGCCCAATTTTGGCACACCCCTCACACGCTTCGTGGCCCCATAGGGAGCTCCATCGAAGGCCCAAATTGCTGCGTTCGCATGCCGCCGCCACCCCATTTTGGCACACCCCTCACACGTTGCGTGGCCCCACAGGGAGCTCCACCGAAGGCCCAAATGGCTGCGTTCGCATGCCGCCGCCACCCCATTTCGGCACACCCCTCACACGTTTCGTGGCCCCATAGGGAGCTCCACCGAAGGCCCCAGTGGCAGACCTCGCATGCCGCCCGCCACGACGACAACCGCACGGGGGGCCTCACGGGCCCGCTGGTGTTCATCGAGCCCCGCACGTCGGAGCCGTTCACCTTCCGCACCTCCAAGGTCACCTGGACGGGCTCCCCGTTTTCACACGGCAGGGTCATCACCACGGTGGCGTGCCAGGGGCGCACCATGCGGGAAGGCGGCGGGGCGGGGGAACGGCGCCACCGGGCAGTCTACGGCCGAACCCTTCGAACGCGAGCGGTCCGCAGCCAGACCTTCTCGGCCCCGTGGACTCTCGCCCTGGGCCGTCGGCTGTCTTGCGCGCCGCTCCCTCGACCGACGCCGCCCAGGCGTGATCCTGGACTGCGGCCGCCACGAGGTCGGGAACGGCAAGAAGGAGGACGACGACTGGTGGCTGGAGCTCTACGTGCTGCTCTCGCGCGCCACGCGCCACGAGGATCTCCTGCTCATGCGGGCGCCGCTCATCGAGTTCTTCCTGGCAGGGCCGCCGGAGGGCTTGCGGAAGCAGCTGGGGCAGTTTGCTGCGCGCACGAAGCGGTGCAGGAGGGAGGCGACGGCCCTCGCCAGAGAGCTGGGCTTCAGCGAGTTCATCCGCGAGGCCTGACCTGGGGAGCGGCCCCGCACGAGCCAGCGGCGCGCGCTGGTTGTCGCTGACGCTTGGATGACCCCAGCTCGTCGTCGGAATTTCTCGCCAGAGGATGACCGGCGCCTGTCGGGGGATTTCACCCAGATCGCGCCATTTTCGCACGCCTCGCCACGCAGTACGGGGGCGCTATCCGTTGACTCGCAGTGGACAACCCCCGCGCGTCGATGGGATTCCCTCGGGATGACCAGACCGCGTCGGCGAGGACTTCCCAGGCACTTTCGCGCGGCGCCGCCTGCGCGCTGCATTCTGCGCGGCTCGCTGTCGGTCTGGAGGCAAAAACGTCTCCCCTCGTCTCTCGCTCCTCCTGCTTCCCATCGCTTCTTGACCGCGCGCTTCCCCGTCTCGTTTCTGCCGCTGCTGACCTGCCTTCGACATCTACACGGTGTCTCCGTCACCTCTTCCTGCGTGCCCAGTAACAGGTCTCATGATGCGATGATGATACTGATGTGTTGGCTCGCCCCAGTGAGCTCTCCTCCTCCGCCCGCCACCTCCTGCCCGCGCTGCCCTGTGCCTCGTCCATGCAGTGGCGCGGTGCCTATGAGAAGAGGGGCCTAGTTTGCGTGCCCCCTCCTTCGTCTCATATCCGCGCGGTACTCGCAGCTGCATATGGTTGGGTCCTTCGGCAGGCTAATTTTTTGGTGCCACTTGAAGGCCTCTCAATCGGCCTCATGACCTGCACTCCGGTTGCCTTCCGGCCAGAATCCAGAAGCGGGTCCAACCGTGGCGACGAATACTCGGAGGTTGGGGGATGAGACCGAAGTGCATGGAGACCCACCACCAGAAAATCGGTTTCGGCTTCGTGCTCGTCGTATGGGCGAGGCGAAGCTCCGTGCGCGGGCGAGAGGAATGATCACGCGATTGGCAAGGTGAAAACAAAGCAAACAACTTTCCTCGTCTGGTTGGCGGATTGAGACCGCAATTGTTCCGCCGTTCTCCCGTGATTGTCCGGTGGCTGTCCCGTGGTTGTTCCGATGATTGTCCAAATGGTTGTCCCGATGGTTGGACAAACGGTTGTCCCGTGACTGCCCCGATGGTTGTCCCGACGGTTGTCGCGATGGTTGTCACGAGGTTGTACCGTGGGTTGCCCCGATAGTTTTTCCGATGGGTGACCCGATGATTGTCCCGATGGTTGTCCGATGGTTGTACCGATGATTGCCTCGATGTTTGTACCGATGGCTGTTCCGATGGTTGTCCCGAAGGTTATCCCGATGATTGTCCCGATAGTTTGTCCCGACGGTTGTCGAAGCCAAGGTGCTAACATGCGTTCGGCGCCTTTGGCGCTTGGAGAGTTGTTGCCAGCATGATCTACTAAATGCGCTCGGCGCCTTCGGCGCGAAATGATGTAGTGAGAACGACAGATATATCGGTAGTGAAATAGGTCAGAGGTTGGGGGAAGAGGTCGAAATGCAAACGGAGATCCACCACCTGGAATTCGGTTTCGTGTTCGTGCCGTGCGTGCGAGCGAGGCGAAACTGCGTGCACGGACGGGAGGAATGATCACGCGTTGGTAAGGCGCGGTCAAAGCAAAAACCTCTCATCCAGTCTGGTTGACGGATTGGGCCAGCGGTTATCCCGCGGTTGTTCAGTGGTTGTCTCGTGGCTGTTCTGCGATTGTCCCGTGGTGGTCAAGATGGTTGTCCTGCGTTGTCCAAATGATTGGCCCGACACTTGCCCCGATGGTTGTCCCGATGCTTGTCGCGATGTTAGTCCCAATGGTCGTCCCGATGACTGTCCTGACGGTT